GCTGGGGCAGTGAGATCCAAGCTAGGGCCTGTGTGCCTCGTTAGTCATTCTTCAACATTGAGGGAAATCAGGAATATTAAGCACAATTATAAGAAGAAACAGCAGCGGAATCAAGACAGAAAGACGGTGGAGAGGTCTTGGTCTTACCCTGCAACCAATTGCTCATCGGTTGGAGGACATGGCTCGCTGAAATAGGAACAGCACCATCAAGACCAAACAAAAACACATTGTTTAAAAAAAAAAAAAAAACCATGAAAAGTTACAAGCTTGTTTTATAAAAACAGTATTAAAGACTAGCAGAAGTACCATCATTAAGCATTAGCTGCTGGGGGTCAAGACTTCGCAACTCACTGGACAAGAAAAAAAGATATATATACTCCACACGCTGAGCACGTATGAAGGGTTTTTCTCACTAAATGTCAAATTCTCACACACAAACACAGGCTGGGCAGGGAAAAGAGTCACTTTTCAGAAGCAAGTGTAAGGCTGGAAGCACCATGCTTGTATGTATTAGCAAGATGCTTATGTACAGTATCTACCTTTCTAAGAATCAGTTTCTCACCTGTATGACAAGAATTATCTACACAAGATCAAATAAGACCCTCTAAGGCAAAAGCCTTCTGAAGACTGTAGTGTGAATAGCACCAGCCCCAATTCTTAAGATAACGTGCCTACCTGCCCAGCTGACATTTCCGAGCCTCTGCCTGGAGCAGTGAGGCAGTCTTGGTACATATATATGTATATATATATATGTGTGTGTGTGCCAGAAAACATCTGGGCTTCTACACTAGGCAACTGCGTTTTTTAGAAAGAGTTTAAGAATCTTTGTTCCTCTGCAGAGATCTTGTTCGGAGGTGTGCTACTTTCTACATATCCTGAAAAGAGAAAGGGGACCTAATTTGGGGAGTGAAAATGATGTGGAAGCCCTGTCATGACATACTGCCAAAGACCCACACAAGAGAAATACACAAGCAGGAAGCTTTCCTCAGCAGCTCACAAACTTGGCTCATCAGGTAGTGTGATATTAAAGGGTTACACATGTGCACAAGATGGTACACTGAAGGACACACAGCAGGAGACAAACCTAAAACCCTGGGCCTGCCCTTGTGCTGGTACACCGCCCTGCAATGTGGACACAGTAGTTGGGCCAGCAAGGAGGTGGGGAATGGTCTAGCTTGGAGATAAAACTGCCACTTTCTTGTGCATTGACCCCAGCTACAGGAGTGAGGGTACATCTTCCCACCACATCGGTGTAGAGCTCCAACCATACATGACAGCATAAGTGAAGCTGTCAAGAGAGGCCAGTGCAGAGCCCATGTGCAGCTAGTGGAAGGGTCTGCATGGTGCAGGCTGGAGTGTGCCTGCCTGGCCAGCAACCCAACTGGCCTAGGATCTAGCCGTACCTGCAAGCTGGACCCACTGCTATCCAGTGAACAGTCAGGACTGAGGAGGCCAGCATCTTACCTCCCTCCACATCCTACAGCAGCATACAAGAGTTAAAGGTAGAGATGGAACCAGGTGGTCTGTTATATTGTGCTTAAAGTCAGATACTTTCAGAGCATTTTGGCAATAAAAGGAATCAACTCTTCTTCAAGCCTCTAGTTCCCTGTTCTCTGAGGCAGCAGCAGAGTGCTGCTCAACACCTCCAGAAAGTAGGGCCTGGCTTAGCGCCTGTGGCTCAAGTGGCTAACGTGCCAGCCACATACACCTAAGGTGGTGGGTTCAAATCCAGCCCGGGCCCACCAAACAACAATGATGGCT